GGCCTTTGCCACATCGCGTTTGCATTGCAAATTTCATGCTTTTATTGCCTCGGTTGCGTGCTCCTATGCAGAACGCATAAATTTCGCTGCTTAGTGGCAGTGCAGTGCAGTGTAGATAAATTGCATTAGTTTAAGTATCGAACTGCAGCGCGTACGCATATGCAGTTGCCGAATTTAACAAAATAACCGAAGGCAGCGCTTTAATTGCCCTCCAAAATGCTTTTTTAGTGTTTGAAGTTAAATTAAGTTTGTTGGACGCAGGGCTTAAATTGCTGCAATTTGCGTAAAACAGAATTCCGCACATTAATTTCAATGAATTCGCAACTGCAACAATGTAAATATTGCTCAGTCGATTGCACGCCCCAAATTGTTTAAGAAAGCAGACGAAATTTTTTCTAAAAATATGTCGATTTTTATACACAAATACATTGGGTTTTGCATGGTCTCAATTGAATTCAGTTTGATCAAAATAATTTATAGAGCTTTTTAACGCGTTAGATTTAGATTGAAAAAAGGAAATCATTAAAAAAAATTTAAATGGTAATAGCTAAGTCACATATCTAGACATTGACATGTATAGAAGACGAAACTGGCTGCCTTAAGCACATACAGCGATCACAAAAAGTATTCGTCCTTAACTAAATTTTTATAAAAAAACTGTAATAACAACAAAACGAAACAAAACATTAAAAAAAAATAATGCAATTTTCAACGTTTGTATTCTGTTTATTTTTTGTGTTTTTACTCCAAAAATTTAAAAATAAAATAACAAAAAAAGTAATTCTATTGCGAAACATCAAAAATAAAGCAAAAAAAGTATTCGCAACAACTTATTACAGCTTTTTATAAAAATTTAGTTAATGACGAATACTTTTTTTGACCACTGTAGATACAAAAAAAAGTCATATATAAACCTACATAACCTAAAACTTGCATTGGATACTCAACAGCCAACCTCATTTGAGGTTAGAGTATTGGATCTATAGATTTTTAAACTAAAACGAATTTGAATAATAGTTTTTAACTCACAAAATAAAAATATATTTTATTATATTAAAATAAGGTCTAAAAACACCGACTTCAATGTTTTACTTACTGTCACGTCATCAATATGTTTGCGTTGACATAATCCAAAACACAATAATCCAATAATTAAACTTATTTAAATTTTTAAAAATTTTGCATAAGTTAATTTATGCTTAATATATTAAAACTAGAAAATTATTAACAATTGTCTTGACACTAAAAAAAATCACTTAACGAGGAACGAACAAACAGTTATTCTAGACTGTTTTCTATATGCTTCGTATGGCTTCGGGTACTATAGAACGAAAAACTGCAATAAAGTTTTTCTAGCAGTTACTGCAGTGCAGATTTTGCGTTGCCAATTATCGCAAATAGTATTAATAATATAAAAATAGTCATATTTTACATAAAAATATATATATCTTATATATATAAAAATAATAAAATTAAGAAAGAAACTCGTAAAATGCAAATACTGAAACTTTATTTATATTATTATTCATTAGCTATTTTTCAGCAAACTCTGATCTGGTAGGTATTTACTGACACAATATCTATCAGAAATTAAAGTAATTGGGAACGTATAATATTTGTCAACTGTTTTTTTATAAAATGTTGTTTTACCTTTTTACATATGATCGTTGGCATAACATGATCCTTATGAGTACGTTTTCTTATATTGATGGCATTTGAGGCATATTTTACCTATTATACAAAGAATATATTATAATCTTTGATATCATATCAATACATCGCGTTGCTAACTACATTTTTCAATAATTATCTTCCAATTTTGTTTTTACATATATTCCATATCGAACCATGTCGTGAACCAGACTAAGTGCCACTTCATAGCACTAATTTTGTTTCAATTGGTGTGACATTTATTTAAATTTGTCTGTCTCTAAGTTTGGTATAAGATGACTCTATTAGCCGTAATTTTTTCTTTCAGAGCAGGAAAAAAATAACATTAACTCCGGTTGAAAGAAATTGGCAGCACTTCTAAAATATGTTTAATGCTTTCCTTTGATATATGTTTTTGGTTGTGTTGTGTACAATGTGACATTATACGTACGACTTGAATTTTGAAATATATTTTCAGTAAACATTCACAATAGACTAATTTTCGAATTTTGCCCCATTAATACTTTAGACTTAAATTTTTTTGCGAGTAGAACCTAACCAACTCTGAAGATTTTAAGAGCATATTTGTTGCTTCACATGTTGTCTTTCGTAAGTTGCGAGTATTTTTTTGCTACTCTGAAAGAAAAAATTACGGCTAATACGACGATTTGTTATAGTATATAGTTTCTTATTACTTTATCAACAATTGCACATTTTGTTGCCAGAATGCATTGTTTTATGTAAACTATAACATGTAATTTATCTGCATTCCCCTAATGATATTATATTATCATTAGATATAATATATTTTAGGTATTAATTGTATTGAAAATGTGCTATATACATGAAGGGGTATTATACATCATATTGGGTTTATAGTATTAATGCTGCTTCAGTTTACTTTCATTACATGAGAAATGTTATTGAAAATGGAAATTATTAAACGAAAGTACAATTGTTGTAAAATATAATTGGTTTATTGTATGTTTACTTCAGAGTTCAAAGACAGTGGATTTGAAAGTAACTTTCGTTTTCATAATAATTAGATACTTTGCTCATCCTATTTTTAACGAATTCCTTCATATGACTTGACATGAAATTTTTTTTAGTTACAATATTCAAACAAAAAAAACGAAAGTATTTTATTTTCCAAAGATTTAACTTTTTAAATAAAACAATTTCAATTTAAGGGAAAGAAAAAAAGTCAAAAAACTACAAAAAAAGGTTAACGGATTTTTTTTTAAAGGAATCATTGTTTACTTTTTACGTGACCTTTATTCCAAATCCTTTCATTTCATCCAACACTTTTTGTGGGATAAAAACTCAAATACTACGAAAGAAGAAATGTATGTGTAAATCACATCCTGCTGTAATAAAGTCCTTCTAACATTTGCAGACGAAAATCTTAAATCACATGCACTGCTAAAATATTTATCACTCACTTGGTGAGCTTCAGTTGCACGTGCTAAGAGGAGTGACTTTTCCGCACATAATTTGTGAAAAGTCATAAAAACTTTTACTTGACAATATTTTAGAAGCCACCACAGGAAAAAAGTATCTTAGCTTATGAAGCACAGATTTTTCTACGAACTTTTTATAATAGTTCAGGTCATTTCCTTCTTAACTATTTTTAAAAACACAGCGGACACAAGAGTATTCATTTATTTTATTTATTATTTAATAAAATAAAATGATTAATTAGTAATCGTTATTAGATTTCTTTATATTCTACATCACAACACGGAGCCTTATTATGAAAAAAACAATAGTGAAGAAGTATATTGTACTATATATATGTAAATATGAACGATCTGTAGGATCCTTGATAAAAATGTCTAAATCTGAATATGCATTCAAAAATTAATAATAATTCTAAAACAAAAAAGTATTATATGAATATATTGTTAACCGGAATGAGCTAATTCGATTGCTTTAGAGTTTTGACTCTAACAATTTAATCTCAGAACAATTTAAGCAAAATCTAATCGATACTGCTAAGTACAGATCCGGCCTGGCAAGTACTCTCTTTCTATAAAAACGAAATTTAACATTGAATATTAAATTTTTTTTAATTTTTAAAAATAAATTTTTAAATTTTAAAATTAACTTTTAAATTTTAAAATAAAATTTTAAATTTTGCAAGTTTGCCGGATTTTATACTAAATCTTGTAAAGGGAAGTTCTTTTATTCACACTATTCAATTCAGATATGAGATTTTTGCAACTTAAAAAAATGTACTTGGATTTTATAATTCATATTGGAAGAATTTTTAATCTGCTAAACTATACAATTATTTAATAAAGTTTTTTAACAAATATTAGATTTTTAAAAATATTCAAGATCTACCATATATGCCTTATTCAGATACATTTTTAATAATTTATTGTTTTAATGACCAAAAATTTTTTTTTAAAATAATTTTGTTTATTGTTTTATACGGGCTTATTTCTTTTTAAAGATTTTATTTTTATAAAGAGGTTTTTTAAAACCGTATTAGAATACAACAACAAAAATTTTATTTTTATATTATTTTAATTAATTGAATTTTTGGCTGACAATACACCTGCTTCGAGTATTGCCAAATACCCATCATCAGTGGTCTTGGAAATAATTCTTGTATTTAATTATTCGTAAATAATTATTTTTGAGACTGTAAGTACCAGGAATCGAACTCGGGTCCTGCCAAATGTGAAGCTCAGACCTGCACCTTAACCAACTGATCCAAAGCCGTACTTGACTTTTTTGTTCGCATATTTTTCTGGAGTTTTGTTACTATTACTACGAAAGTTTTTATTAACAATTTTACTTGCTGTGTTTATATTAGATCGAAATCATAAACCAGCTGTAGAATAATTAAATTAATTAATTATAATTTTATTTTCAATTGTTAAATTTCAATACTAATCTGTTCTGATATAATTTTTACCAATATTTCGACTATAATCTATACTCATCATCAGGGTGACTATAGATACTTTTTTATAGATACTTTTTTAAGTAAAATTTTTGAATACTAATTCAAAGTTAAGAAGCAATAAGTTTAAAAAAATCCATTATATTTAGTGTTGGATGAAATCCGAAATATTAGAGAGTTTGAGTCCACAAGCAGGACTCAAACCCGCTTGTATAAATCACTGAACAGCAAATGCCTTCCATGGATTGTCTTTATTTGTTCAATAATGGTATTAATAATATTAATTATTTGCAAAAGTTAAATTTAAAAGATTTTATGTATTAATTTTTATTTTCGAAAATTTTTGAAAATCATACAAGAATTGAATCTGATTGTTGTTTGTTAAATGCCATATTAGTAAGTACTTATTATAATACTTTATAATATAAATACGTATTACATACATATGTATAATGGCCACTAACAAAATTTTATATTTTTAGAGCTACTAGATTATTCAACAAGTTTTAGTATTTTGAGAAAAATAGTATCATAATCGGGAACGGTAGCAATTGTGAACTAAACGTATTTAGGGTTACCGATAATTTTCATATAGCATAAATTAGTAGTTTTCAGTAATATACAATAAAAAAAACTACAAACATCACTAAAACGTCAGTTGCACAATCGATTATTTTATGTATGGATTACTGATTCTGGTTTGTTATTGAATAATCTAAACGTAACTTTTTCCCATCAACAATATGATCATCTTCACATTCCTCGGCGGCATATTTTGCATCGCACAAATGAGCAAAGTACACAAAACCATAACCTTTGGAGACGCCGGTCTAAAAAGAAAGGTCAACAATAACTATGTTAGAGAAACTTGTATATAAGATTTGCTTTTACTTTAGCTTCCCTTGCGATTTCAGCTTTATCAACCGGGCCAAACCGTTCGAAATATGTACGAAGCTTGAGTGATGCCGTGTTAACATTTAAACCAAATATTGCTAAGCATTTATTTGGTCTAGGTTTATACTATATAAAAATATGAGTAATTTTATATTCAATAAAGTTACATTCAATTGTATTGCTAGATACTAACGCGATCAGGTATACGTTGATGTCGTGACATTTTTGATTGATGATATCCAGAACTATGATTTCCTCGTGAGTAGTAAGTATGACGGTACCTAGATCCACTGCTTGAATCTGTACGAGAACTGGAGCTGGAAGTAACTGAGGACACCGAACTAGTTTCTGAACTTGAAACTGAGCTTGACTTATAGCTACGACTTCGGCTCTTAGTCAGACTCCTACTACGAGAGGTACCACTGCTGCTCCTTGAGCTGCTGGAAGAAGTTTCAGAGCGACGTCTACGCTTGTAGGAACTATGACTGAATAAAGTATGTAATTAAATAAATAAAAATATTTTTCAACTAAATTATAATCAAAATTTATATTAAGAGTATATATATACACGGATATAAGTTTTGTATTTCATACTTCTGATATTATTCTAATTTGAATATCTGGATGTTTCAGTTCGTTAATTGAAATATGTTTCTTTTTTATTTCATTCTTAGCCATTTTATGACTGTTCCAAAAAATTTCATTCATTAAGTTCTTTGCGTTAAGAAATAGGATTATTTAAACTACTACTACTAGTTTATGTATTTAAAAGTTAATATTAATGTACTATCTCATTTATATATTAAGTTATATTATTCTTTATAATTACCGGAATTTATCTTCGTCCGATGAATAATGGCGGCGCCTCTTTCTTCCGTAACGCGACTCGCGTTCTTCATCAGAAGAATGATAGCGACGTTTTTTATTCATATAACGATGCTTGGATTCCTCATCAGAAGATGTATTCCGACGTTCCTTCTTAACCTGATGTTCCATATTCAATGTAATACACTAAAAATAAAAATTCTTAATGAAAAATCCTGCTATTTATGCATAATATCTTTGATTTGTATTTAACTAAATTGATATATAGATTAATATATATGAAAATATATTGAAGATCTGACCTATATATAGATTTTAAGTATTATCCCTGCTCCACACTATACTAGAATCATTATCATTTATTTATCTTCTAACTGATGGCGAACCGTAGATCAGCATATCTTTCTGTGCGTCCTGAGGTGGATTTAAGATTTGATTTCTGTCCTTGATATATTTTTGCACTGAGTCGATTCTTAGATTAGTAAGCAATATTAATTATTTTTATTTAAAAATCGTCTTTCAAAGTCAAAAAATAGTTTGACAGCATTCTTTTTGGTTGCCATGGTTTCAAATTTATGTCCACCATCAGCTAAAAGATAAATAAATGATAATATTTGCAGTATAGTTAAAGCCTAGTGTGGGGTAGAGATAAGCCTCCCAGCCATTATAGAGTAAAAGTGCGTAATAGCACTAACTCAACAAAAAGAAGAAGATATATAGTTATTGTCAAAAATTCATTTATTTTTGTATTATTGAATAAAAACTTACAACATAGTTGTAAAGGTACTTACATTGAGTCAAATTGGCCGCAAAAGAATGGTCGAAACTTCTAGAACCCAAAACCAAATGAATTGAAATGAACTTAAATTAAAGTTAATGTCCGCACTACCTGCATAAAATTATTGCTAACCGTTTTTGATTATTATACAATATATACAATACATTGAGACTTACCTATTGTAAGAAAAATATTTGTTTTTAAATATCTCCGCTTTCTCGAACAAAAGATTTATCAGGAGAAGATCTGAAACAATCCAAGAAGAAAATATTTTTCAAATGTCATTTTTGTTTGATTTAATTTAAAAGAAAAAATGACATTACTATCAGAATAAATGCTAGGGTTACGCTTCTCGAAAATTCGAAAAAAGTATGTTTATACAAAAAATATTATTAACTATCCTTAACTAAATTAATTTAAGTAAATAATACTAAAAGTAAAATAACGAAATACCCGCTTTGAATACATATGCATAATAAATTTAATATGGGGACTATGTGGAAAGCATATAATATATTCCATTAACTTGTCTATTTATAAAGATTTATAAAGCCTTTTACCAATGACCAAAATTAACCCAAATAGATTTTAACTATATTTATTAGTTATGACTATTATTATATTAATTATAATTATAGGTTTTTATTTTAGCTATCACACAAAGTCTGCATATATATCTGACAGCATTCGGCCGATATCGAATGTTAGCATTTCATGTATTTTTAGATATTAAATATGTTAAATGCAAATAAAATTCCATATTACTTACATTGAGTGAACTGGGACACAAAACAATGTTACGAAACTGCTAGGACCCAAAACCAAATGAATTGAAATAGTACTAGAGCTGCACTGCAGTTTAAGCAAGAAGAAAATATTTTTCAAATGTCATTATTTGATTTAATTCAAATAGAAAATGACATTACAGTCAGAATAAATGCTAGGGTTACGCAGTTCAAAATTTTTAAAAAAACAACAAAAAAAAAATTAAGTATGAATATATATGGTTATTCAAAAATCGTAACTTCCCCATATTTATATACAAATAAGTCTTTAAACATTGAACTTGATAATTCGATTGAAATCATATACGAGTATATATATAATTAGTTTGTAAAAATATTTATGAAGTTTTTAAAATTATTTATTTATAAGTTTACAGCAGGTCAAGAAATTAGGTCAAGAATTTACAAACTTTGTTATAAACAATGACCATTTTAAAGTACGCGGTTTAGAAACTGTAAGAAAACGGAACGGTGCTACTAGGCTTACAACACATTAAATATCTGGCGTTGTTCGATATATTTTTTGGACTAGTAATTCTACGTTTTGGTGATATGAATTAAACAAGATCTTGCAATTTTTCAGCACCAAATTTTTTTTGTGCCATACAAACGATTACGTGTACGCGGACAATCTTCAAACTTTTGCGGAAATTTTGAAAAACCAACCAAGGTATGTGCCGATAAATCATTTAAAATATCCTCTAAAATATTCGATACTATAAGATATGGCATGGAGGACATTTGAATGAGATTGTGTGTCGGGATATGTGCCGATAAGTCAATAAAAACTACCTCGAAAAGATCCAGTACTGTAAGCTGGTCTGAGGACCGCAATGGATGATGTTGTATTTCATTGCTTGTGGCGAGGCCTAAACATTTTATCTCTAGTAAATTTCACGCACCTTTTTTTAGAACCAAAAAATAAATAATCTTATATATAGTTTATATAGTTTTGACAACAAATAAGTTACTTCTAAAAATTATTTTAAAATAGTTATTGAATTTTTACCAAATACTTAAAATTGGAATACTAAAACCAAAAGAAAAGCAATTTCTTTCAAA